AAGAGCCAGTGGAGGTGAAATGTGGGCACAGATACTCTTGCTTAGCTGAGCCCCAGCCCCTGCTAAGTCCCAGCAGTAAATCTCAAGCTTAGGACTAATTTACCTGAGAGCTCCAAGCTGGACTCGACACCAAAGCTCTGTTAATTCAGACTCTCCCAGAAGGATTCCAAAGCTTCCACCATCTCCGCTTCCAGGGGCTTCTCCTGTGACAAAAAAACCGATGGAGAATTTTAGAAAGGCCCCCTCTAAATCTGGAAATGTAGGGTGTTATTTAACCAGGGAGAGCGTTACCTTTGGCTTGAGTTTGGGGAATGGTTTTGTTCCTGGAGTATCAGAACTGGTTGGTGTTTGAGGGCCCACGTGGATGGGGGAATTGGGCATCAGCTTCACCAAACACAGCCCAGAGCAAATGCTCTTTGCTTGCACTTAAATAAGCCACAGTTTCGTGTTGAATTATATTCTGTGAGGCCTTGGGTTTTTTTTTTATTTTCTTTCCCAGTTTATCCTTGCTGCTCCCACTTTCCCTCTGCATATCTAAGGTTCCAGAATACAAATACTGCTGCAGATACCTCTCGTTTGAAATAAAGGATCAAATGTGCCATGATTTATTTTTTTTACTAAAAAAAGGAAGAGAAAGAAAAACCTTCCCCCTTGATTTATTTTTTTTTTCAATGTTTTCATATCTAAGAGCCAAGCAGTGACATGTACAGAAAATATCTTTGAATATTGAGGAAAAAAAATTCTTGCTGTGTCAGAGTATTGAACAATTAACTGTTTATATTAAAATTCTGAATAAATTATCCAAGAATAACTGCTCATTTTTTTTTTGTCTGCTGTCTGTGCAGCACCTGAAGGCTGCCTTGCCATAGGGAAAGCACTAAATTAATACCTTGGAATAAGCCCCAATAAACCCAAATAACGCAGATCTGCCAGCTCTAGGCATGTGGTGGGAAGGCAGTGGAACTCTCCCTGAGGGGCCATGCCCTCATCCCAGGGATATCAGCATCCTGATGCCATCGGGTGGGCATTGGTACCGAGGGTCCTTTCTGCCTGATGCACCAAGAGCTGGGGCTCTGGGATGTAATTCTCTTATTTCCTGTGAATGGATCAGGTCTCCCCTCCTCAGAGGGGGACAAACTGCTCACAGGCAGCTTTGAAGCACGGGAGTCAGAGGATCAGCTTCACCCCCGTCCTGTGGTGGAGCTGCTGGAACGGGGGATGCACCAGGAACCTCCTGTCTCGCCTCCCGTCCTGCCCAGGCCAGGCGTGTCAAATCTAATTTAAACCTGGTTTTGTTTCACCAAGGCCAAGATTTCCCTCCTGATCAGCGGCACCAACGAGGCGAGGGACTCGTTCTCCCTCTCCTTAGCCCCTTAGTGAAGGTGCCCTGCTTTCAGTGCAATCAGCCAGGTGAGATTGCCAGGGCCATTTCAGCAGGAGCTGCTGCTGGTGCCAGCTCCTCGTGGGAGTCAATTGGATGGCTTAATATTTCCTTCCCCCTGCCTCCCACCCAGCCACAGTGTGGTTTGCTGAGCTCCTCCCTGACAGCTGCTCTGGCTCTTCCTGCCTCAGCCCTGCTCGTGGCTCTTTCCTTGCCTGCACTTGGAGCCTGTTTTGGACTCGTGTGGAGCTCTGCTCCCTGACTTGGCCCCTCGGGAGGACACAGGGAGTTGGACACCCATGCACTGAGTTGCTGTAAAAGCAAGTAGTGTGATTTTCTTTTCACAAAAAATGCTTCCCTGGGTGGTGACTCCACCACCACCTCCCCGGGCAGCCCCTTCCAATGCCTTGCAACCTTTTCAGTGACGTTTCTCCTGATGTCCAGCCTGAACCTCCCCTGGCACAGTTTGGGGCTCTTCCCTCTCATCCTGTCCCTTGTTCCCGACCTCCCTCCCAGCTCCCCCCTCCTGTCAGGGAGTTGCAGAGCCAGAAGGTCCCCCCTGAGCCTCCTTTTCTCCAGGCTGAGCCCCCCCAGCTCCCTCAGCTGCTCCTGCTGCTCCAGCCCCTTCCCAGCTCCGTTCCCTTCCCTGGACACCTCCAGCTCCTCAGTGTCCTTCTTGCAGTGAAGGACCTGGAACAGGACACAGCACTCAAGGCTTCACCAGTGCCATTTCTTCACTGAGCCCATCTGGAGTTGTCTTACTGGGAGAATGATGACAAACAAACTGGTATTTTTAAGATGCTTTGGAGTTGCTTCTTGTGGCACAGCCTTGTTCTCTGGGCATCCTAAAATGCAAAATTAAGCAAAGATCGAACTTGCTGTCCTGGGAGCTTTGCTGCCTGCTGGGCTCTCTAAGGTGCTGTGGGGAGGCTGCTGAGGCTCAGCCACCCCTCCTGCCCTTATCCCTCATCCCCTCCCTGCCTGCACAGCTCAGCTTTGGCAACCCCCATACTGTGTCAGACACGTGGCAGGAGGAAAAGAGCTTGTCCTCATTTGAGCCGAGGACAACTCACCATCCCATCAGCTGGAGCAGCTGCCTGGTGTTTAGGATCAGCCCTGATCTCTGATGCTAATCGAGCTCTTGTGGACTTCAGAGAAATTAAACCTTAATTCCTCTTTGCTCTTGTGGTTTCCTGGAGCACGGGGTAATTGCTATTCTAAGGGCTGCCAAAGCTGCGGTCTGTGAGTAATTGGAGTGTGAGTGGATCTTGTTCTGATTAGGGCTTGGCTGGGGTTGGTGAGTGCTTGGGGCTCTGGGATGAGCAGCGTGTGTGCATCAGCCACGGGGCTCCTTGGGAAGGAGGGAATGGCTGTGTGGACAAACCTGAGCCTGAACCAAGGGCAGGGGCATCACCCCCCTGGCCCTGGAGCTGAAGTCCCTGCCTCCCACCTGCCTGGATGAACACGGCCAGCACAGGCATTTCTGTGCTTTGTTGCCATCGCTTCATCCTTTGCAAGGCTGAGACCTGCTGGCCTTGGGGTCTCTGCTGCAGCCCAAGGTCCCACCATGACAGCAAAGACAAGGGGCTCGTTCACAGGAGCTCTGTGAGGCTCAGATGGTACAGGGAGCCCCTGGGCTGGGCTGGGCTGGGTGTGCCGAGTTCACACACACACACACACACACACACACACACACACACACACACACAGAGTGGTTTTTCTCTGAAGGCAACAGGAAGCAGTTGTGGCAATAGCTGTTCCTCCGCAGCCATTGCGAGTTCAGCAGCTCCCAGGGCCCCTGCTGGGTTTCTGGGGGTTCGCAACCCCCCTGGGGACTCTGCTGGGGACTCTGCTGGACCCTCCCGGAGCCCAGGCCCTCGGGAGGGTGAGAGGGGATCGCTGGGGCAGCGCTGGGGCCGCTGCCGTGGGAAAGGCAGCAGGGGAGAGGTGGGTTTGTTTGCGCCGTCGGAAAGGGGAAGCGGTGAGGGGGTTGAGCCAACAGCCCTCGTGAGCAAACCACCCTCATGGCCGCTGCTGCCCCGGCCAGGCTCCGCTCCTCGCTGTGCTGGAGAAGAAGTGGGGCCTGCAGGATCCAGACGTGCACAGGGAACCCACCCCAGCGATTCCTCCAGCCCTCAGGGTAAGTCGCTCCCCGCACAAGCTCCGGGGGTTGTCACTCATCTTCCTCAAGGCCTTGTGAGGAAGCAGCTTGTCCTGAAGCCAAAAGTGCCAGTGCTGGGTTTCGTGCAGCCTCCTCCCCTGCACGGGCTGGAGGGCACAGCGTGGGCTGGGAGTCTGAGCTCACAGGGAGCTTTGCTCTGCTGGGAGCAAAGAGGAGGAGATGAGGTCGGGGTTTAACCCCCAGTGCGTCCCCGTGGCCGGTTCTGGGGCAGTTCTGGGCTGGCTGAGCGCCCCTCAGGTGCTGCTCTTGGCTCCTGCTGCCGCTGTGCCACAGCTGAAGGTTTGCAAAGACACCCTGGCAATGCCCACGGCTGGGTTTTGGGCTGGGCACAAGAGGGGGCCGTGCCCGGGGCCCCCAAATCCCACTCCAAACTGCCCACTCCAGGGCACCCACGTTACTGGGGAGATGGAAGCAGAGGGGATGTGGGGAGGGGTGTACTGATGGCACTTTGGGTTTTGTGGCCAGGTGAGGGAAATGGTTTTTGCCACCTGCCTTTGCACAACATCAGCCCAGCCCGGGCTCCAAGCCAGGAGGTGCCTGTGGTTGTTCCCAAACTGGCTGGGCTCTTGCTCAGTGAGGCCACAAGTGTCAGGTAAACAACACGGAGGAGGTTTGGTCTGGCCCGAGAGCCCAGCAGCTGCACTGGGGTAAAACTTGGCTTCTTCAGCCTAATCGAGGGATTGGGAGCAAACTTTGGAGCCAGTCTTGGCTGTGGGGATGGTGCCAGTCAGGAGCAGTGGCCTTGGAGACCTCGGGGAGGGGCAGAGTTTGGTCTCTTGGGGCAGTTTGGAGTTGGCTGAGACTGCTCCCACCTGCCTCCCTGCGTGGGAGAACTGAGGAGGGCTTGGAGAAAGGTCAATGCCAGGGGATGGGGACTTGCTGCAAACTGCAGGAGGATGCTGGTGTTGCAGAAGGACAGGGTTTCATGTGGTCCCTTGCAGGGGTTCTACCACAGCGCTTGAAACCGAGAACAAAGGCACAAACGTCAAGCCTGTGGTCTTAACTCTCACTCTGCACCGAAGGTGACTCTCACCCACGTGTCACTTCAGGTTCTGCTCCTGCAGAGCAGCCTGGAAGGTGGTGATTTGCCATGCTGACAGCTGACAGCCATGAACGGAGCAGGGAGGCTCTGGCAGAGGGGAAGGGGGTTGTGGTGCGCTCACAGCGTGTTTTCTGTGTCTGCCTGCGAGCCTCGGGCAGCGCTCGGGGGGCCGTGCGTGTGTTCCGGGGCTGCCGATCCCCAGGTCGGGCTGTAGGAAGTCCCTGACCCGTCCCACAGGTGGGAACGCCAGGGACCAGGAATTTCTCCCTGGCTTCAGCTTCCATCAGCTGATGCTTCTGACAAAACACTTGGCTCCTGCACTCCCCCCTTGGCAGCCCCTGGGCTGCAGCGCTGCCTGAGAGCGCTCCGAGCTCCGCGCTGGCGTCTCCTGCTCGGGGCCGGACCTCGCCCGGGGCTCCCCAATGTCAGACTCGCTGCTCAACCACTCCTGGCCGTCGTTTTCCAAGCGCTGGAAGAAGAGATGGTCCTTTAAGCGAGGTAATAACGGCCTGGTGTGTGAGGAGAGCGGGCTGAGAGGGTGGTGGGAGCTGGGGCTGCTGCGGGACGGGAGGACAGCCTGGGCTGAGCAGGTACCAAAAAACACTGCGGTCCCCAAGCAGAGCTTGTTTTGGGGTGCTTCCCCTCCTCCCTGCAGGGGCTGCTTCCTAAGTGCTGGTTCATGCTTTTTGTTCCGCCTCATCTTCTTTTCAAGGCACAGAAATGCCTTGGGGAGCTGGGGAATGGGTTAAATCTCAGCTCTCTGGTTTTGTATTAAGTTTGTTTGGTGGCTGGCAGTGAGCTGGAGGTCCTGGTTCTTGCAGACAGCTGTCTCTGCACGCTGCCTGCAGAGAGCTTGGGGTTTGAGCAGATGCTGGGGAAAGATTCCTCCGGTCTTCCAGCGAGGGCTGGCGAGCACAGCCAGAGCTGTGCGGTTTGGGTGGCCCTGGCTGGGCTTCCCAGTGTCCAAGAGCAGGGATGGGAAGTGACAGCAGTGGTGTGAACTGGCCTCGTTCCTGCATGTGGTGCCATGACTTGGAAATAGGGAAGTGAGAGCCTTGACATTTGCAGTCCCAGGGGAGCTGGACACTGCTGGACACTGGTGGCCTGCACACACTGCTTCAGGCTGATGATGTTGGGTGTCTTTACCTGTGGCATTAGAGCTCCTGGCACTCTTTCTCCTCTGTTATTCCTCCACCCCTCCCATTTCTCTTCTGATGTGGATGCACAGGAGACCAAGATCCGAACTGAACACTTGAAGGAATGTCAGGTCAGAGCAGGAGGAAGGGTCATGCAGGCTCTGATGTGTGATGAGCCCCAAGCCCCTGCTGGACACCCCCCTCCAGCCTCCCCAGTGCTGGGGGGGTTGGTTATGTGCCCACTGGGAAGGCTCAGGTGGGCTGAGTTCTCTGACAAATGAATCAGCCTCGTGGTGCTCTCAAGCACTGACTGCTTTGGAGAGGACCCGGGTAGAATCAGCTCCTCTCAGCATGTGCTTTCAGAGCAGTTTGTCCCGATGGGTCCTGTGCTCTGGGCACAAAACACTGGGGTCTCACTCACTCAGAAGGGAATCAGAGGGGCTGCAAATCCCCCTCAGCCCTGCCAAGACCTTTCAGCTGAGAGTGAGCAGAAAACAGTGCTGGCTCCCTGCTCCTCTGCCCTCTGTGCCCAACAGGCAGGCCCCAGGCAGGGTGATAAGGCAGCAGCTCCCTGTGCAGTGTGTTACACTGTGGGACAGTTTATCCTCCCCCTCCCCCTGCCTGGGCTGCAGGAGCCAATCCCCTCTGCTGCCAAGGCAATGAGGGGCCCAGACCAGGCCAGGGACTGCCCCTCAGCTCATTTTGGCACAGGGAGTTCAGCACTTGCTTTCCTGAGGTTCTTCCCTATAGCTCTGGACATCCTCCAGCACAGTATGTGAAGGGCAGCTGGTGCAGGGCCAGCAGGGCAGGGGCCAGGGGGAGATGGAATCCTTTTTTCCTCTTGCCCATGATGCTCCCCGTGCTTTCCCACCAGTCCCTATCCTGGTTGCTGGGAAATGCCCAGACATTCTTGTCTTTCCTTCCTCCTGGGATCATCTCACGTAGCAGAACTGCCCAGTGCCTTTGTCCCAAGGCATCTGGCGTGGCCCTTCCCTGCTGGGAAGGCAGACAGTGTTTGATGTTGGAGGATGTGACTGGCGTGGGGAGAGCTCCCGTCCCTTCTTCCTCTGACGTGTTCCCTGCCAGAGCCAGCCTGGCTCCAGGGTCACTTGGGGACCTGTAGCATCCTGCACCGAGCTGGGGGCAGGTGAGGACAGGACACTGCTGGCAGAGTTTGCTCCAGTGCTGGCTGCTCTGGTGCTGTCACCTGCTGTGACACTCGTGGGTGCATCTCCAGTGACCGATCTGTCCGAGGGAAAGCAGCAGAGGTGGTTGTAGGAGGGGAGGGTTTGACTGTAGGTCTGAGTTGGAATTATTAAAAGTCTCTGTTGGGCTCCCAGTGGCCTTGAACGGAGTCACAGCCAGGAGAGCTCATCCAGCTGATCCCACAGCATCAAAACTCCCGGGACTGCCCCAGACTGTCACATGCACTGGACACCTGTCACTGCTTCCTTCCTCCCCACGCAGCAGCCCAGAGTCCTCACGTTTCACCCGTGGGAAGCTCTGGCAAAGTGCAGGCACCATCCCAGCCCAGCTTCCTCCCCAGCTCTGCCCTGGGAATTCCTCTGGGGAGGCTTCTCCCTTCAGCTATAACCTTTTATGGTTCCTGGCCAGAGGCGAGTTAAGCAACTGCAATACCTAATCTGCTTAATGTTCTCCTAAAGCAAACAGCATTTGTTCTTGAAAGTGTCATTTTGTCATCCCATCTCCAACTCCAGCTGAGGGAAGGTGACTGCTGCTGTCTGCCAGTGCCTGGGGGGCCGAGATTCCCCATCTCCTTATCAGGATGCTGGACGTGGATCCTTCCAAACAGGCTTGAGTGCACAGTCCGAGAGACTCAAGGGGCTCCAGAGTTTGCCACACTTGCTGATACTGGCTGACCACCTTGATGGTGGATGTAGGGATGTTCACAGCCCCCCCAAACCTGCATCCCTCCTGCGTGTGTGCCCCACGCTGCTCCTTCCTTGCTCGTTATCCCCCAACCCTCCATCACCCCCTCGCCCCCATCACAGCTCAGCTCTGCTCCCGGTGCCAGCCCAGCATCAACTGGCTGAGGCTGAGACGTGGGAGCCCTGGAATTGCTGTGGCTGTTGCTCACACATTGCCTAAAATGGTGTCCCCATGGCTGCAGCCCCTGCTCCTCGTGCCTCTGCCTCAGGGCCACCACCGCCCGGAGCTGATTCATCGCCTGCTGAACCGAGCGTCTGAAGCCGAGGAGGAGGATTTAAGTCCTTTGGTGGGTCTGGAGGGGCTCTGTTGACTGCAGCCCATGCCTTTGGCCGAATCCTGAGCTCTGCATGGCGCAGGGAATATTTTCCAGGCCTCCAAGGAGCTGACTCTGTTCCAGGGATCCACTTTAGGGCCGCACGGAGCCTCGGGCAGGCCCAGAGTGGCCTTGGCGGGACGGCCGGACCTGGAACGGGAGGAAAAAACCTCTTTGTTTTAGCTCAACCTGTGGGCCAGTGCTCTGGCCTCTGTCAGGCCACAGTCCTTGGCAGCTCCAGCAGCCACATTCCTGCTGCCTCCCGGGGCTTTGCTGCTCTGCCCGTGGGTAGGACACTCCTAAAGGGATGGAGAGAACAGGGAATCTCCTTTTCCTTCCTTCCCTGTACCTGTATGAGGGTCCTGGTCCCCTTGGAACCTTCCCCACCCACCTCCTGGTTGCTTCCTTTGGGTCCATTCTTCCTTAGCCTTCATCCCAGCCTATTTGGGCACTTCAGTGGCTTTTACTGCCCATTGACATTTTTAGGTGTTTTTTCTTACAAGGTCCTGCCAAAACCTGTGCTGGTTTAAAGGTGCATTGACCTCAAAATGCTGATTTTTCATTACAAATGAATTCAAGGAAAGCAAAAGGTGATGTTCAATAGCTCACTAAACCCCTGCCATTTGCAGATGCAGCTCAGGGACACCCTGGGCAAGAATTTGTCTATTCACTAAAAATGTCTCGAGAAGTAAATTTTACAACCTTGCTAGAAAGCCTGTTTCAAATTTTCCCTGCTCTTACAGCTTAGAAGGCCTTTAATTAAAATAGTGCCTTCACAGAGTGTTTTCTTTCTATATTATTTATAGTCCCTTACTTGAAATCACCACAGACATTTAAACACACCAAACGCCCCTTAAAACAGAAAATCTGGCATCTGCAGTGTTTCAGTGGGATCCAAGGAACAAACATCCCAGCTATCCCTCACGTTTGCTGCCTTTTTTTTTCAGTTGGCACCACGCAATTGCTGGCTGAGTTGTGGAGCTTTATAACCCCCAGCAGGATGCAAGATTTCCAAGAGCGTGTTTCTTAACAATGTCTTCCTCACTTTAATGTTTTTACACTTGGCTTTCCTGGAGTGTGAGGGGTTTTATAGCAGATTCCTGCTGTTTTTTCCTACTGGATAGATATGGCCCCTGACAGTCTCTTGCTGTTGTGCTCTGCATCTTCAGAGGTCCACCATGGTTCTTCAGCCTGTCTGTGTATCCCAAAGGAATAAAAAGACCTCTGTGAGTCATGTGGTGGTTTAGAGGTTGTGGTTGAGGTTCACAGTGTGTCTGGCTCTACAGGAATGTGCCTCACTCAGCTGGAAGATCAATTGAAACACATCCAGCCCATGGCTTTTGCTTCTCAGTGAGGTATCAGGTGGTGATCACACACTCAGGTTCACACTCCTGGGAGGGGAAAATCCCAGAGAGTGAGCTCTGCTCCCACTGGGGCTCTGCACGTTCAGTGTTGCCTGGAGTCAATAATGTGCCTCCAATCTGCCTCCCAGGGGCATCCTTTATTCCTTAAGGATGAAAAGAAAACCTCTGACAGTATTTTTATTCTAGATTTCTGCTTCCAAGGTCCGTAATATCAATAACAGCCATCAAAATGTGCTCGAGCCTTCTTTTCCTGTGGAAGTGGCCTCTGCAGCACAGGACATCCTACATGGATCTGACTGGGACGGTGCAAGCCTGGTCCTTGCACATGCTGCAGCTCTAGGGATGAGATTTCTGCTGTCAGGGAATCCCTGCATCAGGATCAAAGCTGCTGTGGTCCAGAGATTGCCTGGCACTGCCCGTCTTTAAGGGGCAAGGAAGCAGAAGGCCCGATTGCAGCTGATTTTCCATCTCTCCCAGCTGTCTGGTTACCTGCTGTGACCTTCTCTGTCTTGCAGGGTCTGACTGCAAGCCATGTTTACGGGAATTCACCGATCACCACGCTCCTGCTTTGGAGTATCCCAGCCCCAAAAGCTTCCTCCCATCCCTGATTGCTGAGGATGACTCCTCCTGCACCAGCATGGCCGAAGAGAAGGCAAGTGTCCTCTTTCCTTCTGCTGCTCCACGAGGCAGGAGCCAGGGTCAGCAAGCTGGCTGGTCAGCTCCACATCCACAGGGGTTTGTGGCAGAGTAAGAATGGGGGAAAGGAGTACTGATCCAGACTGTCAGGGAATTTGTCCCTCCTGTAGGTGCTGTGTGTTTGCACTCAGGGTGATCTGCTCCATAACCTTGCCAGGCACTGAGGTCAGGCTGACAGGCCTGGAGTTTCCCGGGTTCTCCTTCTGGCACTTTTTGTGGATTGGTGTGACATTCCCCAACTTCCAATTCTCTGGGACCCCCCCAGTGAGCCAGGGCTGTTGGGAAATGATGGAGAGCAGCTTCTGTCGCTGGGAAAAATCATCCCTGAGTTCTTTGTACTGGTGTTGGGGGGGGGAATAATGCACAGAGGGACCCTGAGGTGGTGGGGCTGGGGCAGGTCTGGCTTTGAGGGGCAGTAGGAGAGGGCTGCTGTTAGAAAGTCTGGTTTGAGAAACACATCTGCAAGTCTGGCCCTGCCCTGCACCCTGAGTTCTGCATGGACCAGTGCAAGGCTCTCAGGTGGGATTTGTGCCGCCTTTGCAGGAGGACTCATCTTCCACAGAGCTGGATGTGCCAGCAGCAGACGCGCACAGCAGCACGGAGGATCTCCTCTCAGACTCTGCTCTCCACGGCACTGAGTATTACAAAGACCTGGGGCTCCTGAGCCTGCCCCTTGCCAAAACAGCTCCAGAGACGGCAGCACAGCCAGAAGAAGGGTCCCAGGCCGTGCCTGCCGTTTGCTTATTGGAGGAGAGAGCAGGAACTCTGAGCAAACTGTCCGTGGATGTTGCTTTCTCCAAGCCCGTTTCCTGCGTGATGCGTTACGGCCAGGCCGACTGCCGCTTTCTCCACAAAGGCCACGTGTGCCCCTGTGCAGCAGGGCCAGGAGATGGTGCCAGCACCCCTGAGTGTCCTGCAGAGGCAGACAAGGAGCTGGACCTGCAGGAGGCCCAGGATTCCTTCCCCACGCTGGTGAGATCCATGTCCACGTCTCGGAGGCACAGCTGGGAGAGCCCTTTGTCACCCGTGGGCTGCAAGCGCAGGTACAGCGGGGCCGGGAGGGATATTTGATGTACACAGTGCAAGTGATGGTGGGTGAGGCTGCTGGGTGGTCTCCCTCACTTGTCAGCATCTGCCAGAGCAGCTGGATGCCCACTGCTCGTGTTGGGTGTGACGTGGAGGAGCAGATGCCAGAGCAGCAAGAGGATTTAGTGTCTCTTTGGCAGTAGGAAGGTCCTCTTCTCCCAGCCTCGAGGCCAGGATGAGGATCTCTCATCTGGAGAGAACTCATTTCTGTCTGGAGGTGACCTTAAACAGCATCAGCTGCCCCGATGACCTCCATCCTCTGGCTCAAAGGGAATTTTTCCCATCACAGAGAGATTAAGAGAGCTCTGTCAAATCCTTTTTCTTCTTGTCTGTGAGTTGGCTTGGTGAGGCCTGTGCCTGCAATCACTGTGAGGGAACGGCCTGAAGTTGTGTCAGGGGAGGTTGAGGTTGGATATTAGAAAAAGATTCTTCCCCAGAGGGTGGTTGGGCACTGAACAGGCTCGTCAGGGTCACAGCCCCAAGGCTGCCAGAGCTCCAGGAGTGTTTGGATGATCCTCTGGGGCACAGGGTGTGACTCCTGGGGTGTCCTGTGCAGGGCTGAGGGTTCAACTGGATGATCCTTGTGGATCCCTTCCAACTCAGCATATTCTGTGATTCTGTGTCCTCCAGCCCTCTGCCCTCCACGTGGCTGCAGAGGAGGTTGTGTTTTGTAGCAGGATGCTGAGCTCTGGGAGCAGAGTCAGTCCTGGCATTCCTGCCATCCTCTGCTCCTGCCACATGAATGCCTCGACCTCCAGGTTCCTCCATGAATGCTTTCCCTGCTGACAAATGTATTGATCTCCCAGCTGACTGGGATTTAGGTGCAAGCCAGCAAGGACTATTTTTATCTCTCCTCCTTATATGGTACCCTAAAATTATCTCAGCCTGAAATCTTGGCAGTTCCTTATCAAGCTCAGGCTTTGGTTCTCAGTCCTATTGTTGCCCCGTGTGCTGTGGCTCATTCACAGTTTATGCTGGGAACAGGCACAGGAGGAACAGCAGCCTGGGGCAGCTGTGCCAGGGACATGTTCTGTCCCCTCGCTGGGTGATGAAGGATGGATGAGCATGGGGCCAGGGAAGGGGAATATGCCCCACTGTTCCCTAAGCAAACACTCCCTGAAGCCTGTCTGTGGCAGCAGGAATGAGGTGACAGTGATCTGCAGACAGAACCCGTGCAGAGACTAAGATTTTCCACTCAGCTCTATCCGTCGTTTTGCTCCTGTGCTGTTGGCACTGCAACAGCACTCGGTGTGCAGGACATTGTGGGGCTCTGGGGGAGCTGGTCCACCCCTCATTTCCCAGAAAATAATTTCTTTTTGCTTCCACGAAGCTGGGCCCCTAGTGGGAGTGGGATTTATGACACACTGCCACATTGGGGATGCGATAAACAGCATCATCTGCCACTTCTAAATGCCCAGAGGGACTTTCCTGGCGGGGCAGCTGACAGGGCAGGCAGGCCAGTCTGCAGCCTGGGTGGCTGCACAGTCTCAGGGGTTGCTAAGAGATGAGTGTGAGCCATCCAGCACCAAACATCCTGGGCGACCAAGGAGCTGAGGGACTCGCTGATGGCAGCCAGAGGAGCTGTTTTGAACAGGCTCAGGACTCGGTGTCCAGGCTGACACTTCCTGGTGTTTCCTTTCCCATGTGCCTGCTGGGGGTGAGCCTCCTTGTCCCAGCTGCACGAGCTCTTTAGGACCATCCACCCAAGGCCACTGCAGGGGCTGTGCCACACCTGGCACACTGGGACAGGTCTGCTAAACTGGCTTGTTCCTCCCCCTCCCTGCTCAGGTTCAGCCTGGATGTCACAGAGATGGGCAGCGACCCCGAGCAGGAGGATGTGGAGAAGAGGAGCCAGCCCTGCCCGCAGCCTCACGTGTCCCTTCAGCTGCCCAAAGCAGGGCTGGGAGCCTGGAGCAGCAGCAGGGCTGGCACGGTGATCAAAGTGGAGATAGAGCCGCTGCTCCCCAAGCTCACGGTGGGCCCCGGCCTGCAGGAGGTGGTGAGTGGGGAAGGCTGGGCAGGGAGAGCTGGGGGGGCAGAAGGGGCAGCTGCAGGCTGGGCTCTGTCAGTGCCAGCATCAAAGCAGGTGTGCCAGGAGGTCTGCAGGGATCTCAGCAAGGATGAGCCCTCTCTGCTCCAGGACAAACTGCCCCGTCTTGCAGGAGAAAGGCCCTGGGAGGTGGCTGAAGCACAGCCCTCTTTTCCTACATATCTAGCTGGAATTTCCCTTAATGCAGCCTGTGCCTGGTGCCTCTTTTCCTGTCACTGTGCATCTGTAAGAAGAGTCTGGCTCCATCTACTCTATGATCCTCTGTCAGTGAGCTGAAGGCAGGAGTGTCACTCCCCTTCTTTGGACTCAGTGAATATTAAAAGGACAATTGCTACATGTTCTAAAAAGTGAGAAATGCCTATGAAGGTTTCAGCCCCAAGTGTCACTTGCTCCAGCCTCCCTGGAGCCCAGACCTGAGGCCAACAAACAACTGGGCCTAACGTGTCCTGCATCATAACCCTGACAAAACAGGAGGCAAGGGCTGAGGAACCAGATGTGATGGAGGCTCCCTTGGTGCACAAACCACCAAAGATGCCCATGACTTTTTACTTCTCCAGAAATGTGTCGGCAGTGGGAAGAGACTGAGGTCCAAGTCTGTCCCAGCAGCCTGTGAGACCGCTGCCTCCCCTCAGATACCTCTCAGCTTCAACACTTCTCTTGCAGTTGTGGAAGGTTGGTACAGACTATACCTATGTCATTAAATGAGGGCAAGGGGTGATTGAGGAGATAAAAAGTTGGAGCTGTAAACTCTGCAGGGCTGGACATCCCCTGCTTACCCTTCCACGTGGAGGGTCTCTGGGGTGCAGAGCAGGATCCTCAGTAGTCACTTCAACACAGACCAGAGAGGGGAGGGGTAACACAGAAAATGATGTAGCCTTCACAGAAACGCAGAGCAGCCTCTTCCTCCCTAACTGCTCCCAGCATTTCTTCCTCCTCATTCAAGGCAGAGTGGGAGCCCAGCAAGGTTAACAGGGTCCAATTGCATATCTTGCAACGTGGTGTTCTACAAAGGTAAACCAGGTTCCCTGCTGAGAGCATTTTGTGTTCCAGGTGTTGAACCCCCTGCCCTGGAGGTGCTGGAGAAGGACCACGTGTCCCCAGACCATGTGTAGGTATTGTCAGTCCTGGCTGTTTTGAGAGGAAGGGGATTCTTGGGTGTATCCGAGCTACTGGGGATGCAGCAGCAATGGAGATCCCACTCCATGCTGGGGCACAGCTGAGAAGTTGCTCTTAAACCAGCACTTGAGGCTTTGTGGGGTGCAAGATGTCTGTGCAAGGACATTTTCTAATCCCTCCCTTTTCTCTTGCCCCGTCCCTGGTAGCTTAAATGTCCAGAAGGTTCTTCAGGAGCTGAAACATTACCATGGGTAAGTGTGTGTGGGAGAGGGACGTGGGTGGGGACGTCACAGGATCCATCTGGCAGTGGACACACAGTTCCTTGAGGGGCAAACCCCCAAGAGTACCAGAATCACTGATTTCTTCCAGTGAAACTATGGCAGGACTGCAAGGAGAAGGGACATTTCACGTGCCTCTTCTGTAACTCTAAAGGTGTTCCTGCCCCACCTCCAAAGACGAGACTTTGTGCTGACCCAGAAGTTGTGCTCTTGTGTTCTTTACTGTGTGTCTGATGCCTTTTCCCTGCCCAGGGCAAAGCAGAGAGCTTGTGTGCAAGAAGGCAGCGACTCTTCCCAGCAGAACATCACTTGGTTTGAGTTCCTGTCTAACGAGTAAGTGACACAGAGGGAAACCCGCACACTTCATGTTCCCAGAGCAGATTGATTTCAAGCCCCCCTCCATCTAAGCTCTACTGCCCTGCTAATCCTGAGTGCAGGACACTGGTATTGCAGGGGTTCAGCCAGGATCACTGAATAGCACCACAGACACAGACAGAACTTTTGAACGTTCAGCTCCTTTTTTGCGAGTGTCTCATTAATAAATGACGTGGCTGACGCCAAAACAGATCCTCCAGGAGATGGAAAGCTCAGACTTGGGGCTCTAAAGTAACGCTTTAATGACCTTCATCAGTGATCTCCCTGAGCTGGGCTTGGCCAGTGGACTTCCCCTTCATTAAGATGTTTTTGTTTTATTTCAGAAATGAGGAGAGTGGGAAGAGCGATAAAGCAGAGAAAGGCACGAAGGTGATGCGACGCCTGAGCTCCCTGCGGAGCCGAGTCACCGGATCCTGGCAGAAGGATAAGGTGAGGGACAGATGCTGAATTTGTGGAAGGAACTGTGAAATTCTTCAAGTAGAAAAGGGGATCTGATCCCAGAAAGCAGTCAGCTGGATTGTTTTTGGGTGGCTGAGGCCTCTATCATGGTCAGCAGATGCACTGTGTCCCCTAACACAGTGCACAGGATGGAACGATCCTCAGTTTCCATCCCACCCTTCTCCAGGGCACCTTCTAAATGCTCCTATGCTGCCTTAGTTGTCCAGAGCAAGAGGATTGCCTTGGCTGGGTGACTGGAGTGCTGTGTCCTGCCCTTTGTCACACCTTGACTGGACCTACACAAGGGAGACTTGCTTAAACCTTTGGGAAAAGCATTACCATTCCACTGTAAACCCCCCTGCTTCCTGCACACTCCTCTGTAGGAGCAGGGAAAGGAATGTTGTCAATGGAAGGCCTGTGACAAGCTGTGCTCTTCTCTCCTTCCAGGGTAAGAACAAAGAGCAGCCAAAGGAGAGAGAGAAGGAGAAAGACACAAAGGAGCCAAAAGAGAGGTGGAAAGAGATCAATGGGCACCAGCTTGTGCCAGGGGTTTTCTCCAGTTGCACCAGCTGCTCACTGTGTGCCAAACCTCTTTTGAATAAAAGTGGTCTGCAGTGCCTGAGTGAGTATGGCTGGCACTGCCTGGCTCTGCCCCTGCCTCTGCTCCCACCTCCCCTCCAGCCCAGCCTGGCCTCTCACCCACCTAAACCAGCCTCCTAAACCTCACCTAAACCAGCCTCCTAAACCTCACCTAAACCAGCCACCTAAACCTCACCTAAACCAGCCTCCTAAACCTCACCTAAACCAGCCTCCTAAACCTCACCTAAACCAGCCACCTAAACCTCACCTAAACCAGCCACCTAAACCTCACCTAAACCAGCCACCTAAACCTCACCTAAACCAGCCTCCTAAACCTCACCTAAACCAGCCTCCTGGACTGCTCCACTTCTCTGCCTGGCTTGGCTCTACCCCACCACCCTCCTTGGCCTGGCTTGGTTGTGTCTCCAAAGAGTCTAAACAGTCTCTAAATCCTGCCTGTCAGTAGTTTACCCTCATTTTCTTTGGTCACTTGACCATTTCCTGCCCCTTTCCCCCAAGGAGGGTTCTAGGTCAACTTCTCCTCCACTAATTTTCTTTTTCCATGAAGTTCTGCTTTGCCTGAACAAATGTCCCAACTGCCTGAGTGCAGCTGGATCTTTTAGGCTGCTTTTCACAGCTGCAGTCATGTTTCAGCCCAGCACTTGCCCTATGCATGGGCACAGGGATTTCTAGAGCATCCAAAACTTTATTAACAAACACAAAGTCAAATGGTGCCTCCCAGGACCTGCATGGGTGAGACTGTTGCTTTTCACCTCTGAGTAATGCCCGTGTGCATGGACCTCTGTGCTCCCACGGCTTCCACTGTGACATGGCTTTGGCTGACAAACCCTGTCCCTCCTCTTTGGGGCAGGTACCCAGGGCACTGAAGAACACTTTAAAAGGGATTGTCTGTGGGCAGAGGAAATGTTCTGGAATTGAAAGAATTGCTCTCTTTCTCCACCCTGCACCCTCAAGCAATGCTCGGTCTCCAGTGAGGGTCTCTCAGAGGCTCTTAAGGTCAGTAAAACCTTCCTGGGGCATAAGAGGACTGGCTGACCTTGGACATGTGCAGTGAGAAGTGTGGATATTTAGAGAGAACCTAAATATTATGAGAGGAGGCAGAGTTATGCCTTGTCATTCCTGTCTGAGGAACCTCCTCTGTTTGCAGTCCTGCAAAAATACCTTAATCTGAGAGGATACCAGACAGTCCAAGTGCACCAAGAGCTTGGAGCATTGCTCCAAGCATGGCCTTGGGAATGCTGAGGTCATTGATAGTGTGAGTGATTCTCCTCTGGACAACTGCTATGAAGATCTGTGGTCTGGAGTTGGAGGTAGTTGTGGAAATAGGAGTGTGGTTCAGCATATTTTTATCCATCATAAATGTGTGGGGATGGGACATGAGTTATAGTAATTTTTACCTTGTTTCTCAGCCCTTCCATGAGGAACCTGTGTTCTGTCTTGTTAACATTCAGAAGAAAATGTGCAAGGTGGCTGCTGCACTGGTTTGTGTTTGGGACTCTGTGGCACCTCCTTTGGCTCTCAGCTGCCCAGGGATGTGCTGCCCAGGATAACGTGGGCAGCAGGGCAGCAGAGCTTGTTTTATTGTGTTCCCTTTGCTTGAACTGAGGCTGAATCGGGCAGGGTTTGGAGATGTGCATTAAATTAACAGCCTGTCTGTGGTGAGATGTGGACTAGGGCTTGTTGTGTGACAGCTGTTGGGCTGACGGGGCCTATATTTGGACGATGCTGGGCTGGAACCTCTGTGAGCTGCCTGTGAGCTGGTAGCTGCTATCACCAGCTCCCGTTATTGCAGCTCAGAGCAGTGTGTGGTCTCCTGAGTAGTCCCTGATGGAGCTCTGGGGCCACCAGGAAGCTGGAGCAGCAGGACTACTTTTCACAAGTGTGAGCTGCCCTGTCAGGGCTCAGTCTGAGCTGTAGTTGTTGCCAGGATCTGAGGAGATTTGGCTGCTGCTCTTGTTTTCTCATCATGAACTCACATTTCACCATCTCTACGCCTTGGCCCCCGGCCAGCCCTCGGTCCATCGCTGGTCAGGTGCTGCTGTTGATGTTGTGTCCGTGGTATTTTTAACTGCAGCACCACCACGTGCTATGAGGCAAAATGGGCTCGTGGAAAACACAAGAAAAGATGGTGGTTAAAGAAAGGGGATGAAGCCAGGGAGAGGAAGGATTGGGGGAATGATTAGGAAGCCTGAGATGTTCCAGTGTCTCATAGGCACAAAAAATCTGGTGGCTGTGAAGAACTAGAGAAGTGAGAGCACTTCTTATTAGAGACAGTAACAGCAGGAGGAATTCAAGTTCTAATTCAGAACATTGCTCTGCTAGAAACATGCCTGTGAGCTGTGAAGAAGGCAGGCAGCCCAGGTAGCCTGGTAGGTGGTATCTTGTTTCCCTGTCTCATCTGATTCCTCCCATCTATCCTTACATCCCGTGATCCAGAGTATCCCAGGGCTGGAGGGAAGGAGGCAGAGCTGCGTGTCCAGAGTCTGGACGCAGGAGAGTCTCTGCAGCTCACAGATGTGCTGTGAGGAGCCTGCCAGGGATGAAAAGCAAAGAGGAATGGTTGCAGTCGCTGGGACCTCGATAACAGTGGCCACCCAAACTCTGCCGTTACGCAAATTTGGAGCTGAGAGCCTCCAGGTTTATTGTTCACCTGGAAATGAGAAAGCTCCTTTTGAGCCTCTGCTGTCAAGGGTGGAGAAGGTTCTGTGCCTAAATTAATCCTCTCTTATAAACATGCTTCCAGAGTTTATGCAGCGAGAGTTAGATGAGTCCCAGGGAAGCCCTGACAGGAGGAGAGCTCTCCAAGCAGGCTGTGCCATGGAGGCCAGCCAGGGATACACTGCGGAATACAGATGGAAAGGAGGATTGCTTGCCTACTAGTGACTTGAGCACTGGGGCAGAGGTGGGTCTTCCACATCTCCTTTAGTTGACAGTCACACCTCTGTTACATTATAGGAAAGGCAGAGCCTGGGCCCCACCGTGGGGTCAGATTCAAATCCTCCTCAAAAGGAAACCCGAAGCTGCAACCAAAGTTTGTTGGGCTTCAGACAAACTCCTTTAAGGGAAGGTGCTCGATTTAATGAATCTTCCTGAACAACACAGGCTGTGCTGGACTGTCCTAGGCTGACCCTTGCTGGCTGCTTCAGTGCATTGGCTGATCTCTAACAGATTGCCGTAACAACTGGTTGCCAGGACTTATTTAAGGCGTGTTGTGAAAGAGGTTTGGAGACCCATTTCCTTCCTCACAATGGGTGAGAGGACATGGGGCTGTGAAGTTTGTCAGGCAAACATCCTCCATCCGTGGGCAAGGAGAGGCCAGAAGAGCTTTTGGTTTGGACTTGAAATTTGGTGTGAAATTCGCCTCTCGCCTGGCACTTGTGCGTGCACAGTTTTGTTTTCTGGCTTCCCAATAAACTAATATGGGAAGATAGTTTTGGCTTATAACAAGCAGGAATTACTTGATTTTTCTATCCTGAAATTTCTGCTCATAAGCCCACACAGAGTCCTGAGAAATCTGAAAAGCAGCAGACAGCCTGGAACTCTGCATTTCCGGAGAGAGACACGGGCGCCAAAAACCTTCTATTTTGGGGGGAAAAAGGAGGTTTGGCTGCTGTAACATGATGACAGTGATAAATGGACTGGGAGTCCCACTTGGAATAAATGATTACTAACAGAATTCCAAACAAACAGAGGCTAAACCAGAGCGGCTGCGTCAAGCTGTGGGTTAAGGTGGTTATGAGCCAATTGAGAAGGATCTGAAGCAAATGTGAAAGCAGCTGCAGCGCTGGTTGCAGAGGAAACACTGACTGAGCTATGACTGTGCTGACACAGAGCTGGTTCACCCAACTCGAGAGGTTTTAGAAAAGGAAACCAAAGTACAGCCTATTCTCAGTGCTTCTCCTTTTCTGCTTTTCACTTTCTTTTTGTATCTGGGCAGTACTTGCCTTCATTTGGAGCATCTCCAAGTGCTGCCCCTTCCATTCCCTGATGAAACCTCAGGATCTTGTACACTCGGGCTGACAAACACATAAGGCTGCAGGACAGCAATCTACGTCTAACACACTCAGCAAGAAACCTTTCATTGTTACAGAATTGCACAGGATTAGAGCCTTGGTGCTCTTCTCCTCTTCGCAATCCAAACCTTAGCTCTAAGCCATGGAGTTTTTGAGCTGGCTGCTGTGCCAGGTTTTGCACTGATTTTGTGGCGATGCCCTGAGGCAGCTGCACAAGCACATCACGTCCTCTCCGTGACAGCTGCAGTTGGGCAATCTGCAATGCTTTGCTTTTACATTACAGCAAAGCACAGAGTCTGAAGTGCCTAAGGACGAATTAGTCACCAAGTGACAGCCAGCTGTTTACCCCCAAACTGCTTTATTTAATGGTTATGTCCCTTGTAGTGCTGACAGGCCCCAAGAAACAACTGGGATCTCATTGTACTCAGTCCCGCAGCACAAAAGGGAACATTTTGGAAAAGCTTGCAACCATGAGATGAAGAGACAAATAAAATCAATTAAACAGGTGGCAGTGTGGAAACTAGAGACCATATTGGTCCCGTGGCAGGAGTTCAGCACACTTCAAGCCTGAGCTGTGGCAGGTTCTTTTAGAGCAGCATGGGAAAGCTGCAGGGTGGATTTTGAGAGGGAAGTTCGTTTTGCAGTCGTGTATCTGTGTTTTCAAGCTCAACAGGCAACTTGGATACATGCAATTTAAAATACGACAAACTTTCTATCAGTACTGTAAATCCTCAGAGTGAAATTGGGAGGTAAGGTTGGATTGTGAGCTCTTCCCAGTTTTTCTTCCCGCACCAAATGCTCCAGCAGCCTGGTGCTAATACATCAAACTATACTGGTGTCAGGGAAAAGGTGGCTTTTCCAGCAAGCAGTTTGTTTCTACAAGTCAGTGCATGGATCTGCTGGCAGTGAAGATAATTCCCCTTTGCTCTCACCATTTATCTGTGCAAGGGTCGCTGGCACAGGCCTGGGCAGGCACTTGCTCTTGAGGGCAGACAGGGGGGACAGCACC